GGAGGTCTAAATACAAAAGTCCACTTATTGACTATTTTTACTATCATGTTAATGACTCTGTAGTATTCCACCAACTTTGTAACCCTTCGATTCTTTTCTACTATTGCACGATATCACATTTTGTGTATTTCTATGCAAAATAATTTACTTAGTTATGTAACACTGTCTCCCTCATTATTAGTTACGTGACTTCTAATAAAATTGCCGTAAAAGCCTCTTCGTTGAACCACCTGATTTGTTCCTTCACTTATGGAATTTTCCTATCCGCCACCTGCAACGAAATAATTGTTTGGAAAATCAGTCGTAAATGACCTAAATGCAATTTTTACACTTATTTCAATGTGTCAGCTAACTTTGTAATTCAGGATTTCATCATGAGCTGACATTAGTTAGAGAACCATTGGAAAACCTGGGAGTACTGGACAGCTGTTTCGTCCTATTTTGGGACTCCTCATCAGTACACACCCACCGGGATTAATTATAATTATTTGTAATTATTATTCCCTCTCTCTCTCTTTCCTAGACTGTATTTCATTGTTTTGACTTTTGCATACTGCATAATGACTTGATCCTTATTATTATTATTTTTTTTGATTTTACAGCTTGATTCCACACTGTATTTTTGGTACAAGTATGGAATTTTCAGCATGGATATCGGTAGCCCAAATTTTGCAGGCCGACCATAGATATCAGGTGTGCGTCGGCGGGGTTTCGTATCTCGGACCGTGTTCATGGTCGGCGAGAGTCCTGACCACTGTGCCACCGACGTCTTAGTCACTTCTTCTTGAATCTCTAATTTTAATGATTCTCATTGTGTTTGTGCGGTACACTGACAATTTATTGTTCTATGATATGACGTTTTGGACAAGAAGAACAAGAAGTTCAGCAAAGATGGCGATCGTTTTGCCGATTTCATTCTCAAAAGCTGTACAATCGCAATTATATAGACTAGTTTACATGGATACAATTATTGTTTATTTACTTAATTCCGCGTAGTAACGAAGAAGATAATAATTTTCAACTTGATGTGAATTACAAGAGGCTAAGAAACTTCTACAGGTGGATACCTATCAGCTGTAAACGAGCTCTCATCATCTCGCTAGCCCAGCGTACCAAAAGAATTTGCACCAATGACTGTTTAGAAGAAGAGCTTTTATTTCTCAAAAGCATTCTGGTTCAAAATGCATATCCACCGCGTTTCGTGTAGAAGAACAGGAAACTAAGGCCAAAAAGAGAAGAATGCACTTCAGTGACAAAGAAAACACTTTATTTGAATCTGGAATCAGGGGAGACCTAGCAGCAGATATCCTTAAAAAGAGAATCTGCAATTCCATGAAGAAGACTTTCCCGGCAGATACTCTAAGAGTGATATTCTCTAGCCATACACTACTTTGAAGCAACGACAAGGACAGACTTCCCCATATGACCACTTCAACGTGCATACGTTAGTTCACCTGCTCGTGAGGCGCTAGGTACACAGGTCGTTCTATGCGGGTTTTATCAAAACGTGTTAGAGAACATCACCCAGCATACCTTCAAAGAGGAGGCACCGGCTCAATCAGAAGGGCCATAACTGAACATCTCGTCAATACCTGTCACACAATCTCAAATGACTCATCATTCATAGTCATTTACAATGTAAACAAAAATCCACCAAAGGTAGTGTGTTTCCAACTTCTTTGTACAGTGGAAGCTCTCACCATATCTATCGAAATGCCGGAGCTCTGTGTTCAAAAGAAGCTAGTCCAGCCTTTACGACTAACATGAGCGCAGTTCGGTATGTTCCCTTATCCTTCAGATCTTTCGTTGTTTTGTTCTCTGTATGTGTAATTTTCTCTCTTTGTAATCATTCAAATCGTCCTATTTGTTTCAGTTATAAAATCAGTTATTTTAAGTTTGTTTCCATGCTCCTCCTGATCACACTTGTAATCCGTTTAGAATAACCATTTTACAATTATATTCTAATCCTGTGTAGTTTTTGTTTCTATGCTTCTTGTAATCTATAGTCACACCTCTTAACTTACATTTCAAGTTGAGAATTTTGATTCCAATTTGTTTCCATGCTCATTTTGTTCACACCTGTAATCCGTTCTATCCCCGCGTCGCTAAGCCTCTTGTAATTCATATCAAGTTGAAAATAATTATCACCTTTTATTCACCTTAAAATTATTTCTTCAGTTATCAAGTATTAATTTTGCATACGTTGTAACTATTTTCTAATCCCATGCAATCTTGTCTCTAAGCCCCCGTGTAATCTATATTCCTACCTTCAAACTTTCATATCAAGTTGAAAATATTGTCTCCTCCGTTACTTTGTGGAATTAAATAAATAAGAATGGTATCCATGTGAACTAGTCTGCGTAAATGCGATTGTACAGCTTTCGAGAGTGAAATCGTCGAAAAGATCGCCATCTTCGCTGGACTGCTTGTTTTTTATCTCTAATATCCCGTTGGGTATTTTCCACGATTTTTTGAGTAAAACACAGTGATTCTGACATTGTACTGTCTGAAGGAATTCTTAGTGTGTTATTCTTTCTACTAATATAGTCTAGATTCCAGCCTGCTGTAAATATAATGCTTGACTCGTAGATACTTCTTACAGTTGAATACTGGCTAACCAGTTTTGTTCTACAGTACTTGTTTTGTGCCTAGAAAGTTAATTTGTCTCTATAGCTGCCTAACGCCACTGTTGAGAACCATTGTTCTAACGACTAATAACTACTCTTTTTGCTGTCTTTGAAGACTTCTTTCACTGTGCGTCCCTCAAAGAAGTGTTGATCAGCTGTACGGTAGGGCGTAAAAATAAGTTTCCTGCATCTGGCACACAACGAGTCCATTTGAGTCAGTACACGATCCTTAACATCACCTACTCACTTAACTCACTATTCTAAAAGCTTAAGTAAGATCTGAATAATTCATGAGTTGCAAGATTTACTAAATTTTTGTATTGCCACATTTTATTTTATTTAACAGTGTCACAACAGCTTTCAGTTAAGTCACTACGATAGAACCCTTATGAAGAACTGAACACATTATATATGCACAAATTCAAAATAAGACGAAATCCTAGAAACTCTGAGGCCGTAAATTTTTTATTTATTTTTTATTTTTGATTATAGCTTGATTCCACACCGTATTTTTGGTACAAGTATGGAATTTTCAGCGTGGATATCGGTAGCCCAAATTTCGCAGGCCGACCATAGATATCAGGTGTGCGTCGGCGTGGGCTCGAACTTCGGACCATGTGCATGGTCGGCGAGAGTCCTAACCACTGTGCCACCGACGCACAAGAGTATACCCATAAGGTGGAATTGTTCACACCAGTATATTCAAGTTTGCTTCAAAGAATAATCATCAGATCAAGAAACCAAAGTGTTTTCACTGACAACATGAAAAAATGTTTTGCCAAACAGGTCAATTGCTTTTCTCATTATTAATATCTATCGAATAGAAATATCATAACCATTCCTTTTTATCATATTGTATAGTAAGGCACTCGTCGGTGGCACAGTGGTAGAGTGCTCGCCAGGTGGTTCGGTGTTCAATTTGCGGTCACAGACGCACTCCTTCACGTCTGTAAGCCAGTAATAATAAGACTGGTAAAGAGGGGTAGGAGGTTGGGCATTAGGTTAGCAACCCCATCCTGTAAAAGGAAATACCACTGCTACCAAAACTTCAAACTTCTAGCTTGCAACCCCATGTTCCACTGGAAACGTAAAGGAATAAAAAATAAAATAGTAAGCCACATTCGCTTCACTTCAATAGGATATTTTGTAACATTTAACGATTAGTCATGGGTTTTTGTTTTTTCTGTTGTCGATATCAGTCACAGTCATCCTCCGGAAATGCTACTGCAAACTATTGTCAACAGCTGCCTTCACTGACTCTATATTGAATATCAGATAGTCCACAAAAAAAAGGATTAGCAACGAGGAATACTCAGAACAAACCAACCAATGTTCTGGAACAAATGCAGATGGATTGGACGCGCACTGAGGGGGCCAACGGGAACCATAAGGCATCAGGCCTTAAACTGGCACTCGAATGAGGAATGATGAGTTGGACGTGCAACCGAGGGAGAAATGAAGAAGGATTGTATGACAATGGGGCGTAAGCTTATGGGAAATCATGGAGTCAGTTAAACAAAGCTTCAGAGAACAAAGTGAAACAGACATGTTCTGTGTTCCATTCGGAACCGAAGGGAGTATCATTTAATATGATTATTTGATTCCTTTTTTTACCAAACAATATAAATCAACAGGGTGAATCAGTTGTCTATTTCTTATGTTATTCTTCAAAGAAATTTTCTATTATCCTAATTATTCATTGTATGTACTATGAATAAATCAAACAGCATAGACAGAAGAAATTTAAATATATATGGGTGCGCACTGCCAATAAGTCCCAAACAAGAAATTGAATAACTGTGCACTAGACTCTGGCTATCAGTCGTTCTCTGACTGATGTTAATCCATGGTCAAATGTGAAACAACTGAAATCCTCACAAACTAACTCTTCAAAGATTCATCTCATACTCTCTGATGACTGGTTGTAGGCCGAAGTTGACTGGAGTTCTACGGGGAAGTCATGATCAGTACAGTCGATGCCGTAAAGAGTGACATTGAGTGATGCCAGTCACGCTAAAACCGCGCGTTGGCAGAAGTTGGAATTCATGGACTGTTCACTGGATCGGATCCCAGTGGTTAAAATATCTTCCAGCTTTCCTTGTGGCTGAAAGGTCCTGGGTTAGAACCCCCAGTGATTTTGCGAGTGCATACTGCCAGGGGATCCCAAACTTGGACGAAATAGCTGTCCAGTACTCCCTGTTAGTTGTCAATGGTTCTCTAATCGATACCAGTCAAGCAGTCAAACTTGAAATAAATCAAATCCCCACTAACGAACTCTTAAAAATGAAAAAAATAAGTTGAACAATACTCATCGACGAATAAGAAGCAAAAAATTTTTAAAAAGTAAAAACCAACTGTCTTAAACAGACTTACTTGATTTCCTTCATTGATTTCAATATCTGATGTATTCAAACTATTAATTCTCTCTGAGTTATTCAATGTTGAAGGTATTGTCAGTGATGATGTCGACGAAGATGATAATAATCCATTTGTAGAATTCATACAACTACTAGAAGCCATAAAATTTGCCATCCATTGATTCCACATTAACTGTCGATTATTTGACGGCAATGATACTGGTAATGATGGCAATAATGCAGGACTTAAATTACAAGATGAATTATGAATTCGATTAGTAAATGATTCATTCAATGTGCTCAGTTGTAGATTTGTAGCATCATTTGGTGTTGTTGTTGTTGGCGGTGGTGCTGGCGGTGGTGACTGTGTTTCTGAGTTGGACAGACGATGAATCGAAAATTGTTCTAAATTGTTCTCTTTATATTTACTTGACAATGAATGTATCTTTTGACGTTGGTCTAATTGACTTTGTTGTTGATCACCTTGTGTTGTTGTTGTTGCTGTTACTGTTGCCGACATAGAGGTCAATAAACTATTCGGTGAGGCATTACTATGCGCAGAATTAAATGAATTCGACAAACTCTCATATTCCTTCCAACTATACAACCATGCAGATTCAACACTTTTCAGTGAATTTAACAAGTTGGCATCATTCATCTCATTGAGGTTTTGTTGCTGCTGTTGTTGATGTTGTTGTTGTTCTTGGTATCGTTGAACAGGTTGAGATTTCAATGAAGCAGGATTCAAGTAGCCAGAAAAAAAGAATGGAAAATTTGCTGGATGAAATTTTTCTTCAAATAGACGTAAAATATTTTCAACTTTATTCAGACGAAATCTTGTCTCACTGCATTCTCTCAATAGCACATCATACTTTTGATGAAATTGTTCCAGCTCTTCCGTCAAACGTTTTTCAAACATATTTAAACATGTATGATATATTAGATTAAAGGATTCTTGTAATAGAAAATTTGGTGGAAAAGGGAAAATTAATGGATTTGATAAATGATTCATTGACAATCCTCCAGGTAACATTGTAGAGGATGTCGACGATGATGACAGTGCCGATCTTGACTCCTCATTGTGTTGATTCTGATGATGATGATGATTATGACTGCTGTGATGATTTTGAGGATGATGTGGGTGATGATGATGATGATTAGGCGATAACTTCATGACATCTCCATTAACCATAGAACTTCCATGAGAAATACACGGCGAATTCATCGAAAGGCTGTTGCCACCTGTAGTTGATGCTGTTCCATTATTCATTAACTCTGGTGAACTTGGCAAAGAAGATGAAGACTCTAGAGAATTTGCTAAATTTCCGCTTGATAAATTCATAATCTTTTACAATGAATATGTGATCAGAAAAATATGTATATTACAAAACGGACTAGTGGTTTTAATCCTTCAATTAGACGTCTGCGTTACCCTAAATGTAAATAAATATGTGCAGTGTGTGTGTTCGTGTGCATGCGTGCCTGCGTTTTTAAAGTGATTTAGGTTTGCCTCAGCAACAACACCAAAAACTCTACACGAAACAGTTTTGCAGCTTTTATTGCATTTTGTAAAAATGTTTATACAAAGCAAAGGGGTAATGTTATCAGATACATATGTATATGGTGTTCCACCGATCGGATATCTGCTTTACCAATCATACGATCTGGTTACCACGTTTATCTTCAATGGTAACATGTGTATTTTAATTTGATCCGTATTTTATGGGTCTTCATGAATTTATATCTGTGTACATGCGTGTGTGTGTGTGTGGGCTTGTGTGCAGTACTTGAAATTAGTGTTTAAGCACACATGTCTAACACTTAAATACACCAATACAATGATAAATGCATAACACATACTTGTAGCACAGTATATCGTGTACAACAATACTATACTAACAGCACACATTACTTAGATTTAATTCTGATTTCAAAATTTCTATCAAAATCAAACCAATCGTGTATTGTCCGAATACTTACTCCCTTTCAATACATGTATTCATACATATATATATAAATATAAATCTATTTTAAAGCATTTAGAAACTATACATTTCAGAGGTTAGCATACCACACATTACTGAAACTTTAAAATTGTCTGTTAGTGTCACCTACATCTATATAAACTACAAACTTTTTTGAACGAAAAATCTACACCATGTTTCAAGATATCGGAGTTGAAAATTTATCAGAGTCTCGGTGTGTGCGTGTGTGTGAGTGTGTGTTTGCGTGCGTGCGGAGTCATGTGTGAAATTCACCTTACTCTTTAATGATGTAACACCCTATATACATATATATATATATATATATATATATATATGTATATACGTAAAGTAATCCTACAGATGCATTACGCATTCACACTGATCCACCTGTCAGGCAAAGTAATTTCAAAAGTGTAAAGTTTTGAAACAAGAAATACAATGTGAAGAAGAAATCAAAAAACTTAAAACCTGAAGAAGAAGAAGACGAAAAGAAACAAGAAATGAACCTGTTTGCTGTTTGGTATTGATGGGGTTTTTTTAGTTGTTGTTGTTGTTGCTGCTGCTGTGCTTTTTGTACTCTGGTAACACGCTTCTTCGGTACCGTAGTTTTGGACGAAACAAAAAATTCATCCTCTGTCTGCGTGTGGTCTTCAGATGCTTAGTTCGTTAGTTAGCTAGTTAGTTAGTTAGCCAGCTAGCGAGTTTGCCAGCTAGATAGATAGATAGATAGCTGGAGAGATACTTAATTATACAACAAGATTTCTCCTTCATATCATAAAAATGCAGAGAAAAAACAATAGGAATTTATATTTTATTTTTTTTTACTTAATTTCTTAAAATGTTCACCAGAAATATAATCGTCCATCACTCACTAATTATTTCTAAGTTTTATAACATGTAAAAATACAAGTGAAATCTTTACAGTATATAAAGAAAGCTTAATGCTTAATTTCACACAAAACTTGGAGATTCACAGACAAATACCAAAAGATTGATAGGGAACAGCAGCTGCCGGCAGTAGGCAACAAAGGCAGGACTTCAGGTGAAAATATACAGAAGACTTAGGGAATGAAGACAAATAACCGAAAACAAGAACAACTATAAGCACCAGACACTATCATTGGGATAAATTTGAAAGAAGGTCACCCTATTCACTTGCCTAACAAGTCAGCATCGTTCCAACTTCAGACTTCATCAATCTAAAATTAGATATTTCATAAATGTATCCCCCTTAACAAATTTGAATAAAGCAAAGACAACATTATTTGCATAATCAAGTGGTACCATCATTTATTTCGTCACCTTCTCATCAGCTGCTTACAGGACAAATTCATTATTAAGCATATCTACAGGAATATTTTTAACATACTTGCGCAGACAATTCATTTTTAAACAAAAATCAATCAGTCACTCTTTGTGTACAATAATAATGCATATAATAATAATAAACACTTTATTCCGACCAGTAACGATGATATACAATAGATTCATTTGGTATAACGTAATCAGATGAAAGAGAGGGTGAAAATATCCAGTTACCATGGCAAAGAAAGACTGACAATTTCAGGCGCTTGATGGAGATGGCCTCGGCAAACCCAAGGAAGATTGAACTCTTTTACCTATTGATAATTTTGAACTATCTTGAGACATCCACCTCATGACCCGTGTCAAGGAGATACCTGGCGATCGCACTGTTTAAAACATTTGTTCCATTTGGACACAAGCTTATTCATACATTTTCAGAAAATCGTAGATATAACCTTCTTTCTGTTCTCCTTAAGTAACTGCTCCCGCAGATACATGTAAATTTGTATATTACGTCGGAGTTAACACGAGAAGAATATCTATCGATTTTTGATTTCACCAAAGAGTAAATTTGTTTCTGTAGATAAGCTAAATAATGACTGTGACCTGTGAGCAGCTGAGAAGGCAACGAAATAAACACTGAGGGTACCACTTTATTCTGCTGAAATTCAGCTCTCGATTTATTAGAATTACATAGAAGCCTTTCTGAATTCCACAGCATGAAGAACGAAATTCACATCATCAACATCAAACACTTAGCCAACACGTTACGAAAATCACTTCCAACATTCGGACTCTTATCCACAATTGCCAGCCTCATCTCTGTTTTGACACTGAAGATCAGATGGCCAGTTGGCAAGAATTAGAAACAAGAAACTTTGGGAACCAAGAAATCAGGAACCTAATCACTCAACAAATATCCTGAATAAAATGAAGGTTGGTCGGACACATATTGAGGAGACTGATGAGTGACATTGCGCCACAGTCCTGCTACCAAGTCGAACCTGAACAGGAAACGGCAAGTTGGGTTTGGATCCGAATGTAACGATGAGATGCTAGATAATGCGCAATCCTGTGGCCAGCTTGACAGGACGACAGGGGACAGAACAAAGTGCAGAAGTTCTGTTGCAAGTCTGTATTGCACTCTGAACCCAAGGGAATTCTAATAATTATAAACTTTCATGCGCCCTTCATTTTTTAAATACTTTTGACTGAAAATGACGCTTCAGTAACTTATTTTTTTATGTTTTATCTTTGTCACCAACAATAATAATAAGCGTAAATATCAAATAAAGGCGTTAAGCTCCATTATAGATAAGATTTTATTTTCATAAATCACACAGTGTTATACAGTAATGTTAACTGATGACCACATTTAGAACACAATCTATCACTGCTCACAATCATTTCAAGTCACTCACACAACTTTCTTCCTTCATATATATATATTATTATTATTATTGTATCCTTTAGTTCCTAGAGGAACATAGGGCTTCAGCTGCGCACCTCCATTGCCTTCGGTTTTCTGACAACGTTTTCACCCTGCTCCAGGTCTGTCCACATGCTTTCATCTCCTCCTCGCATGACCTCCTCCAAGTCACCCTTGGACGACCAACTCGCCGCCTCCCTTTCGGGTTCCACTCGAGGGCTTGTCTAGTGATGTCACTTGATGGTTTCCTCAGCGTATGGCCAATCCATCTCCATTTCTTTCTGCCTATTTGTTTCACAATCGGTTCCTCATTGGTTCGCTCCCAGAGATCCGTGTTGCTGGTCTTTTCTGGCCATCTGATCTTGAGTATTGAGCGGAGACAGCTGTTAATGAAGGTTTGAAGTTTGTTTGAGATGCTCTTTATGACATATACTTTATACTCTTTATTCATATATATAAATGAGTGAAATTAATTAGACATTTGAATAAAACGATGAAATGAAACAGATAGAAGAGGTGTCTGCGTTGAATAATTATCCTATAAAATTCATTAAAAAAAATCAAAAAAGGCCAAAAGCAAAATAAAAACAATGATGAAACCAATAATGATAACATCAATAAGAAAGAATATAAAACATCTACAGTTTTACCATATAAGGTGGAGACATCTGAAACCCTACGTAGGATTCTCAATAAGACGGGAATTGGGTTGGCATTCGAATGTACAAACTAACTAAGAGACAATCTTTGTACGCTTAAAAAGACCCTGTGGACCCAATTAAACAAAATAATATAATTTACAAAATACCTTCAAATGAATTTGAGTTAGGTCAACTACATACGTCACATCGGTAGATCGGGGATAGTCAGATTGTCGGAACACAAGAATTCAGCCAAATTAAGAATGGATGACCATGCCTGCGAAGATAAGCAATTTAGAAAAAAGCTCAGCGATTGCACTACATGCATTAACACACAACCACACAATAAGGTGGGTAGGAGGGGGTTAAAATTCTAAGAAGTAATATAGGTAGGTGGAGAGCGAGAGAGATTAATTACTGAATCCAGCCTGGTTCATCGAGTCTACACTCAACACAACACATGCAACAGAAATGACACAATGCAAATACCAAAGATATGCATGGAAGATAGTATTACCACCAGCCAATCAAATCATAGGGGGATAATAGATAATCTTAAAATTGTATTTCAATCCACTTCACCTACATCATAACATTCTAACATTTTACCTATTTTGACTATAAAAACGCTTGTCTTATTTCCCATCTCACCCTATTTGATTGACAACACTCATATTATTTTTATTTCTGAGTGTACATTATCCTATATTGCTTTTTATTCAAATGTCTAATAAATCAGTTCCACTCACGTAAACAAATGAAGGGAGAAAGTTGTGTGAGTGAGTGACTTGACATGATTATGAGCAGTGATAGATTGTGCTCAAAACGTGATCATCAGTTAATATCACCGTATAACAAGACTGTGTGTGATTTATCAAAATAAAATCTTATCAATAAAAGAGTTATACCATACCAGCACAGTACCCAAGTTTTATACTAGTATCAATTAAAACGTTAAGCGTTACATTAGCCGTATGGTATTCATTGGAATATTTTTCTTAATAGATTTGAATGAAGATGCATTATGTTTCCAACTTTTCTGTCACAAAAATTAGAAAGTAGGCAATAACCTTCATAGAAATGTCCCATATTAGTACACTAAAATAAACTTGATCAGTATATGGCACATATATACATATGTGCATGTAATCAATAAATAAGCAAATATATCACTCTATCACTAAATAAAACTGTCCAAAATGTGACTGTCACCTTTTTGATGGGGTCGAAAAAACAGAACGAATGAATTTGTAAACATCTGTTTACTGTTTTGCTTTTTTGTATTTTGAAGGCATAAATTCACGACATATATGACAATGTGTTTATAAATAATGTATATATAAGCATATTGACATATTGTATGCAAATATTGAAGCATTGACGAGCAGTTGTTAATTG